AGCAAAAAAAAAAAAAGAAAAGAAAAAGAAAAGGAAGAATCCTGCCTAACTCCAGAGTGCTATCCATGAATTAGATAAATGGAAGAGGAAGAAGAAGAGATAGGGATGAGTGGGGGCCTCCACAATGTCTCAAAGGAGAGCCACAGGAAAGCCCTGCCCCACCTCCCATTGTCACATCATTACTCCCACCAAATAAAGCATCAACTATTCACAGCTGTTGCCTTTTTTGTGGAAGAATATAAAACTATTACTTGATCACAGTATTTATAATAAGTAAACAATATATATTTGTATAACATTCCAATGACTACAACGGTTTTCTTGTTTCTCGTGTTTTGCCTGACTCCTGTGGAGCCAAGTGACCCAAACACTCAAAAGGCTGGTCCTACATGTTGAAGAGATGGGTTGGGATAAAGAAGGAATAACATGAACATCAAGAGCATAGAAGACTACATAATATGGGTAAGGTTGCTTCCCCATTTATGCCCATAGTTATGGAAATACAATACCCACAAATGCCTGTCCTTTGGGTAGAATATTTAAATTCCATCAGATGGAGATGTTACTACATGATTAAGAGAGGACCCTTTGGTTGGTAAAATAAGATGAGATACCCCTAATTTCTGAAGCAGGAAGTCCACATTTTTCTCTTTGAAAATCAAGGCCAAAATAGTTCTATTTTAACATTTTAGGTAAATGTTCAAGCAAACTCCGGTAGCATTTACTCATGCACATTTCTAACCAAGAACTGGGCAACATTAAGGATCAATATGTTGGACACACTGGGGAGTCTGCAAACAAGTATGGCCGCTCTGTCACAAGACCTGGCACATGGGGTTCTTGTCCACCCAAATCTGATCAATGAGGCTTTGGGGAGAAAGTTTTTTTTTTGATCCCTTTTGGATAAATGTGGAGTTGTCTCAGGTGTGTATTTGGGGTCACCTTTACATCCACAGGTAAGATGCTCACACTGCCAGTGCCTTTCACTACTACCCAGAGGACAACAATGAGAACGAATCTCAAACTATCAAGAAAATAGTACCTCTGCTTCTAGAATGAATGAATTTTCTTACCTTCACCCTCTACTGACCGAGGCCAGGAAGGTTTCTGGGTTTTTTCCTTTCTGTACTTTCTTGACACACCAGGCTGACCACTGTGAGTGCCATAGCTAGCCCATGTTAGGTGTATTCATGAGCAAGATGTTCAAACAAGACTGAGACCAAAGATTGCCAAACTCCTGCCCAGCCTTCTATCTTTAGATGGCTCTGGCCAAAGGTCCATTTTGCTTTCCCCTCCCTCCCACTCTTTAAGTCTGACCAGAATCACCATTGGCAATGAAAGAAAGCACTTCAGTGAGTTATTCCCACAAAGAGCTGACTGCCTTCATCTCTCTTCCTCCCTTCCTTCCAAGTCTCCCTTATCTACTATCCACAGGTCGTCTTCACAGACCTGTCCTGCCAAAGACTTCCACGCCACAGCAATGGAACTCCTCTTGGCCTTTTGAGGAGTTCAGGGATCTTTTGATATAAGGAGAACAAATATCTTGATCCCAATTTTCCCCAAGGTCACCCTATATTCCTAAGTATGACGGACACTGATGGCACCTTGGACTCTTGGTATGAATCCTTGCACGGCATCATAACTTCCAACAGAAAAATAATCTGAGTAGAACAAAGTCCAGTATCCACAGTATTCCCTGAGAGGATCATAAGTTCCATTATGAGAGTGGACTCAAATTCCAAGATAACTCAGTTGAAACCAAATAAAATTTGGTTATCCCTAGTTATTTGATTCCTCCCTTAATCTCTAGGGTGTGGGGTCTCTGTGTGTAGCCATGAAAAAACCTGCTAAATTATCTATTTTCCCACCAGGCTCAGTTTTTCTTCCTGGGCACCAAAGTACCTATTCTTCCCTGTTCCTACCACCTACCTATTCCCATTTCCAGTTGTCTGTTTTACCCAAGAAAGTTGCTACTTTCTCTTTAATACCTGTATTTATAACTCTTCAGGTAGATCCTCCCCTATAAATGGACCAACCTATCTTTAGCTTTCATATCTTTCCAGAATCCTTTAACAGATGCCAAAATGCTGGTCCTTTTAGTTCTGCAGTGAGGAAAACGGGGCAGAATTAATGATCTCTCTTCTAAAGTAGTAAAAATGAGATATGGAGGAAATGAACTTTGTGGTTCTTCAAGCAAGGTGGAGCTGGTAGGAGAACCCAATCTTCCTGAGTCCCAGTCCTCAGTATTGTTTAACTTCAGGCCTTTTTGGCAGGGTACCAGGCTCTATAGCTCACCAATAAAGTACCTGCTTCCACTTGCCACTTCAAATAAAACAAGGTATTTGTTATGAAATTTTTGCCTGGATAAATAACCATTAGTGTGGTTATATTTTTTAAAATGTTCATTTGGGGAATTTTAAATCTGGAATTGAATCTAAGGGAAACACTTTTAAGAATAGATAATCTATATTTTTATGTGATGAGAATAGAAACCACCTGAAGGTCCTTGTGTGGACCACTAACAGGCCACACAGACCATACTTTGAAAGCAGCTATCTTCTTGGACCAGGGCAAACTTTCTTGCTCTAGGTCACAGGGGTAGGTAGAATAGTCTGGTTAAAATTTGGTTCCCCTCTTTCATTCTTATAGCCAAGATTACACTGTTTCTTTCCTTCCTTTCTTTCTTTCTTTCTTTCTTTCTTTCTTTCTTTCTTTCTTTCTTTTTTGCGTGTGTGTAGACCTGTGATCTCATTGTGTAGGAGGCTTCCTTTTGGGGGAGAAAGGGGGATTCCCAGCCAATGTAAATCTGGGACTGTTCTGTAACATCGTCTTAGTACTGATAGATTAGGTGACTCACCTAGGACTTCACAGCCTGTGTCTGGCAGGGCTTGAACGTAGGTTCTCTCTCTAATCCACTATACCATGATTTTTATCTTCATAAAACCTCTGGGTTTCTATGCCTTTTCCAGTTATGTGTATATTTTTTTGTTTCCCCCCCCACTCACCCACCTCTGCCGCCTCTTTCAATTCCTATTTCTTATCCAAGATTTCACTCCAGACTTTCTTTACTTCCCGTTCTCAGTAGTAATTTCTGAGATTTCTATCTTAACTACAACAAAATCAGGAGATCTTTATACCCTCACTGTTGGGGAAAAAGTACTTAAGGGATTCTGTCTTTAAGTCCAAGGGAGGAGAGAAGATCTGATTCCTTCCCCCCCCCATGCATTCACAGAAATGAGATGTTGATGGAGTAACCAAGGTATTAACACCCAGTGATTCCTTTACCAAATATAAACAAATTTCTCTGAGTCAGAAGGAGCAATTCAGTGGGCTGGGCTCCCTCTCATATAAGGAAGGGACATTAAAGTCCTTTGTACCAGTTGTTGTTTGTCCTTTGTCCTGGAAGAAGACCATGACTTCAGGGAGGTGATGCCACGACATGCAAGTGAATTAGATTTAAGTAAGGGAGGGCTGTGCAAAGTCACCAGCCTCACTTTCACCTCCAGAGCCATCTGGGTCCAGTAACAAAATATAGATCAGGACAACTGGAGATGGCCCTAGCCAACACTTAACTTGCACTCCTGAGTCATACTGTTTGTGTTTATGTTCTTGTCACCAAAGAAACATTATATCCATTAAAAACATTTCTGGCTGAATGCTGTGAAGAAAGTATTTTCTCTATAAATAAATGTCTAGTATTATACTGGTTTATTGCCATCACTCTTTTGCTCTGATCAAACTCACTCATCTCATTCCATTATTCTGGTCCTAAGCAGGTAATCTCTTCCTCTTGGTGATTCTTGATCTAAAGAAATTGTGAAGTTCTGCCCTGAGGACATACTTTCAAGATTGACCTCCAAGGAATCCTATTTAAGGAAAGTGGCTGGTAGGACCTACCATTCTACAATACATCCTACCTTCCAGACAACACCATTTTCAAGGGTGGGATGGTTAGTCTAAGTTCTGGATAAGTTTATTTTACTTCTCCTCACATTTAGGGAACTACCTTACTCTTATGAACCCATACACTTGCCACAGTCCTGCCAGAGTCATTACTATTCAATGAGGGGCTTGACTTTCTCTAATCCAAAGCTATGCCTGCCTCTTCTGAGGCACTGACTTCATGGCTTAAATGATGTAATCAACCATTTCTATTTCAAATAGATCTCTGCTACTTCAGTCATATCTCAGATTTATCTTTTTTCTGTCAAATTGAGAGCCTACTCTATCATCAATGGCATAGCAAATTTATCTGCCTAGAGCTGCCTCATGCTCTCTATAGGTACCCTACAGAGCTCCCAAAGAAATTATCTCCCTAGTTCTAGTCTCAGACTCAAAACCTATGATCCTATGAAAAAAAGGTCAATTTGACCGCTCTATAGCATAAAAGATACTACCAATCTATAGGAAACCAGATTTACTATAGCTGCACTATTAGATGGTATACTGAGGAATCTGTAATAGTATATCACTATAGGCTAGCTAACTTTATACCCATGAAATTGGTACCTTATAGCCTTATAGCCCAAGAAATTTCTTTCCAGGGCCAGCATATCAGTTTTTCAAAGCACTACCCCTTCTGGTACCATGGACAGAGCTCTGCTCCTACAGGCAGAGAACTTGGGTTCAAAACCTACCCAGACACCTACTACCTATGACCTCGGACAAGTCACTTAACCCCCACCTCCCTTGACTTGAAGTTTTCTCATCTGTAAAATAGAGAGGTAAAAGAAGGCTATTCCTTCTAAATCTATGATTCTTTCCCCAATCTCCAGGGCTTCATCATGATCTGAAAAAATGGAGGACTTTTTGTATTTATGATCATACCCCCTACAGTTTTTCTTCCCCAGTTTTCAAGAACTGATGCAGTTTTATTTGCAGACAGGCTTCTTTTCTCCAGCTCTAAAGGAAACAAGTCACTGCAGAGCTGCAAAATGAAAACCGCAGAAACTGGCAGAAAAGAATGGTTTTCATTTGGCTTTGATTCAAGGACAGAAAGGCCCTGAGCAGTTTCTCTCTCAGACAAGCAGTTTAAATTACACTTGGGGGCAAGTTGAGGAGAACAACCAGCCAATAGCTTATGCTCTGAGCTGAAGAAAGTGAAACTTCCCCAGGACTATTGTTCCCTTTTGCTTTATAGCAGTGACAACCTCACATCCAGCTGTACCACTCAAAGAAGTCCCTTTGTCCCATCTGGCTTGAATCCTTCCAGTATCCAGTGATCAAAGACTATGGCCACAAGTTCTACTGGGCCTGCCGTGAGGAAAGTGAGGCTTCACAAATGTCTTGTGTCCTCAGCGTAGGCAGATCTTCTAGCTCGGGCGCTTCAAGGACTGTCAAGCACTTACAGTCATAGGAATCAGTGGAACCCCTCACCAGAGAAATTTCCAAAAATTACCTGAAGACACTGAAACCACATTTTGGAAGCAAAGGAGTTCCCCCTGCATGGTGAGCCCCCTTTCCCAGAAACACAAGTTATACATTGTGCTACCTAGTTATAAGGTTTCCTATAAGCTACAGAGTAAGTATTCTGATTCAAATAGGAAACCGTCCTTTCATTTTGGGGGACAACTTTGAGGGAATATACAAGAAAGAAAGGAGGGGGACATATTCAATGGAAACTTGTCTCATAAGCCATCAGCACCTTCAAGGCAGCTGAACTTTCTCTTTACAGAATCACTGTAAAATAATATGAGAGAACAACAACAAAAATAGTTTCATGAGTCAAGTACCTGAACCCAATGTAGTATGGCTTCCAAGAATGCTTGTCAGAGAAAGATAATGGGTAGTTCAGATTGGAGTCCAACCTGGTTACAGAGCTGCAAAAAAAACATAAGCTCATCCTGTAAAGTTTCTGAGGAAAGGATGGTTTGTTTTACAGCATGACTGTACTAGTTATATTTTTTCCATTAGAAACTAGACAGAAAAAACATCTTTTATGCTTGATCAGCAACAACAGAGCAGAGTTCCATGGACAGAGCACTGAACCCTTTAAGGAATCAGGCAGACACTTTCTTCCCAGATTCACAATTCGATATGCTCTATGACCACAAAATGTTAACTTCACCTTCTTTCCTCTTGTGGTAAATTCTCATTGCCTCCATCAGGACAGGGGTCTGCGAACCACTTGGAAATCATGTAAGCTTAATGCGAAGTACCCTACTGGTACCTTGTAGCCTTTCTATAACCTGGCCTAACTCCATCAAACCACATTATAGCTGAACCAGCACAGAAATGAGATTTGCCCAGCACAACTTCATCAGTCCTGCTCCTAGTGGGTAGAAAGTTGCAGAGGTCACAATGCCATTTTTGTGGTATCAGGACTTAGACATGGTGCTACATATACCAGACGTGGAGTGACATATACTGATGTCTCAGGACCCCTCTCCTTTATTAGGATATACTCTGCTGTAGTCTTTCACCCAGGGGAGGGCTTAGAGACATCATCAGTGATATATGGCTGGCTCCTCTTATGTACAGCTAAAATGGTATGATTTTTAAAATGCTAAAAGTTCTACCCAGCTCCTAAATTTCTGTCCTACTAAAATCCTACCAATAGAGTTACTCCTCCAGGTAACTCTCTGTTAAAATGCAAAATGTGTTGTCAGGAGATATATTAACTTATTAGAACTAATTATAAATATTAGCTGGTACCTCTGAGAAAGAGACAGGTCAATACTGAATGGTGAGAAACAGACCGGGAAAGTATGTGATTCTTCCAAGGAGGCCTAGTCTTAGGTATGGGTCAGTAGGTGAGTGTGCTGCAGTAAGAAGTTATGTGAAATAATAGAACAGGTCATGTATACCTTGAGGCAATGAAAAAAGGGGAACGGGGAGGGTCCCAAGGCATCTTCTGCTCACATCACAAGTTGTTTTGGTCACCCTCCCAAAAGAATTAACACAATGAAACCTCATCTCTGTGAGAGTTAATACCAGCACTCCACTTCTCACATTCACCAGCATCTTCTGTCTACCCGTACACCAAAAGAATAGAGGGGCAGGACCTTGAACAATGCGTCCTTTATATCACCCCAGCCCTTCAAGGTAATACTGTATTCTGATTCCCAAGTTTTAGTTCCATCAGGGAATTCAAACCTGTTCTCCAGGCCTTTAGTCTCAGAACCTCCTATTACCTACCAGCTACTCTTTCAAATTGGGAAGCATGAATGTAGCAGTATGAAATAGTGAAAGATCACTGGCATAGGAAGCTAGAGGACAATAGATTCAGTTCTTCCATTCAGCTGTGTGACTTTGGCCAAATCACTTCATCTAGCTGGTATTCAGTTTCGTCATCTGTAGAATGATGGTGTAGACTAGGCGACCACTAAAGTTCCTCCTAACTTAATGATTCTATATGATGATGTACTTATTTTAAACTGAATCTAAGTTGAGGCCAGTAAGCAGCACCCTGGCTTTTAGAAGTTCTCAAGGGGCAGCTAGGTGGCGCAGTGGATAGGGCACCGGCCCTGAAGTCAGGAGGACCTGAGTCCAAATCTGACCTCAGACCAAACACTTGACACTTACTAGCTGTGTGACCCTGGGCAAGTCACTTAACACCAATTGCCTAAAAAAAAAAGTTCTCAAAGCTGAAAATAGACTCCTAATCTATCTTTGTTTCTTTAGGAAGAAACTGAAAACCCTTTGGAGATGGTGAAGAAAAAGAGGGATACTGTTTGGGAACTTGAAGTCAGAGGAGTAAGGAAGAGCCAGGAACTACTGGTAGGAAGAGGGCATTCCTCAGCTGGTTTTCTCAGACATTCATCCTTAGTACAATAGTGAGTAGCACGTGCTCTCCAGGAAGAGAGTTTTATGCTTGGTAAAAAGTTCTTTCCAGTTTTGTGTGAAGTTGTTAAATTCAGTTGGACAAACATTTGTCAAATCTACATATATCTTTTTATATGAAAAAATAATTTATGAGTTTAACAGCCACCAGCAATTTAAATACTTCCATAAGCAGAAAAGAATAAGAGGCTTGCATAAAGAAACCATGATCTTACATGTAAAGATTGTTTTTTAACTTTGTCTCTATATGTATATCTATACAAACATATATATGTATACATATATATGGGCGGGGGTGTAGGTATACACACACACATATGGTAGTAACAAAATGGGTCCATTCATCCATGTCCCTTCTACGCTTATTTTGTTTTCTTATGTGTCTTGAAAAGACACATTTATTGTTTTTTGTGTTTTCACTCCCACCTCCCATTGACTTCCCCAAGTAGGAGCCTTCTCTTTTAATAAATTATGTATATAGTTGAGCAAAACAAATCAATGCATTGGCCATATCTGAGAATAGTGGATTATTACATATTATGTGTATAATGTTATATTAAAACATTATATACATATATTTGTTGTTGTTCAGTTGTTTCAGTCATGTGTTATTCTTTGTGATCCCATTTGAGGTTTTCTTGGCAGATACTAGAGAGGTTTGCCATTTCCTTCTCCAATATACATATATATATATTATATATAACTAATTGCTTATATGTTTTATGTAATATGTATTATATATTATTAATTATTCTGCATCTCAAGACCCTTTCTTAAGACATGAGAAGTGTATTCATGAAATAATTATTGTTTGCTGCTTTGATCAAAATTGAGGTTTTTCAAACTATTGTTATCATCACATAAACTGTCCTCCTAGTCCTACTCATTTCATTCTGTGACAATTTGTTCAAATTTTTCCATGTTTCTCTGAATTTATCATATTTTTCATTTCTTATGGTATAATAATACTCTTACTACATTCCTATACAACAACCTGTTCAGCCATTCCCCAAAAGTTTGGCACATATTTTGTTTTTAGTTGTTTGCTATTACAAAAAGTGTCATTGGAAAAATTCTTGTACATGTAGGTCCTTTCTCTTTATCCTTGGGATGGATGGCTAACCGAGTGGCATCACTAGGTCAAAGGTTAAGTACAGTTTAGTGACTTATCAGAAGTATATTAACATTACTTTTCACTTACATCCCTTCCAATAATTGTCCTCTCATCATCTTTGCCAAGCTGATGGGTACAAAGTGAAAACCTCAGAATCATTTTAACTTTCGTTTCTCTAATCATTAGTGATTTGAAGTGTTTTTCCATGTTTGTTTATGGGTATTTCTTTATTTGAGAATTGACTTATTCATATCCTTTGGCCATTTATCTAATAGAGAATAGCTCTTGTCCTCATATCTTTGTATCAATTCTTTATATAAGTTGAACATTGGACCTTTATTAGAGAAATCTGCTGAGTTTTTCCTAGTTGTTCCCCTTCTATTTATAAATGCATTTATTTTGCTTGTGCTGAAGCTTTTCAATTTTATGTAATCAAAATTTTCTATCTTACCTTTTTTGATCTATCTCTTGTTCAGGCAAACATTCTCTTTCATACACAGTTGTAAAAGATAGCTATTTCCTTTCTCTTTAATTTTTTTTATGGTATGAACTTTTGTATATGAGATCAATATTTCTTCAGAAACTCCAGTTCTGCTTGATTCACTGTTTGACCTCACAGGCAGCCTTGCCCCTTACCCCTAACCTTTACAAGTTCCTCTCTATGTATTGTCTTCCCCGAGCTTGCTTAGCACAGTACCTGCCTTTCTCTTTTTCCTTCGTTCGAATCCCCATCATTGATATGAGTTATCTCTACCTGAATGTTCCATGAGGCATCTTAAGTTCAATATGTCCAAAATAGAACTTATTATCTTCTCCTCAACTTTTACTCATTTTTATTTCTGTTCATGATATTACCATACCTCCAGGTACTCAGGTTTACAACCCCTGAGTCATCCTTGATTCTTCATGCTTCCTCATCCTCCATATCCAAAAATTTGCCCAGTCCTATCGATTAATTCTGCATCTACAACATCTCTTCTATATGTCCCCTCCATTCTCTACTCATAAAGCTACAATTCTAGTTCAGGCCCTCATCTTCCCTCGTCTAAAGGTTTTTGCAATAGCTTCCTAACTGATCTCCCTGCTTCTAATCTCTTTTCTCTCCAAACCATCCTCCACACAGGTGTCAAACTGATATTCCTTAAGTGCATTTCTGACCAAGACTCCCCTGCTCCAGAAATGTATGGTCTCTAGAGAAAAATACAAATTCCTCTGTTTGATTTAAAACTAATATACATTAGTTTCTCTCATATACCCTACGACATTACAGCCAAACTGGCCTGCTACACAACCCATCATCTCCTCTCTTCATGCATGGGCTATGCCAAATGCTAGATATGCTCTTCCTCTACATCTCCATCTCAAAGAATTCCGAGCTTCCTTTAAAGCACAGCTCAGGTGCCTTCGTACACGGTGTTTTCCCTTACAAGATGTAAGGCCCATGATGGCGGGGATATTTTGTTTTTTATTGTTATATCTCCAATGCCCCATACCTTGCACATAAAAGACATCGAATGCCTACTGAATTAAAGCTCATTCTATGTTCAAGGAACTATGATAGGTGCTGTAAATGCAAAAACAAAATAAACAACAGAGTAGACTCTTCCCTCAAGGACTACATAAAATATTCTACTCCATATTCCTCCCTAGAAGCATCTGCTTGCCAGTAATGTTTATTAAGGGCTTGTCCTATGTTAGCAAAAAGAAAGAACAATGAGGCTATCCATGAATAGAATGAGTTTGTAGTCTAATGAAGAAAACAGGACTATACCTGAAAAAGACAATTCAAAAACATGTATAAGCAAGTGCAAACCAATACAAATAGTTTGGAAATACAAGTAGTCAGGGCCTTTGACCACCCTATATTTCACTTTTCTGCTCATCTGATGGTACTCAAACCCAACTTTGCCTTGGGAAACCTTTGATCTACATTTTCATAGCCTCATGATCATTCATCATTTTGAGTCTTTCATCAATTTCTACTAGCTCCCTTGTAAACAAAGCATCCTCAGTCCGCTTTTCACCTATAACTGATATAGAAACACCATCTAGTGTCAAAAAAAGGCAACTCCAGACTATTTATGGAATAAGGAAAATCTGGCCTAGAATGTAGCTTCTAGGAACACAATGTCCTGAAAAACAAAGGCTGTAGTGTGTGGCCTTGTGTGTGTGAACATGCATGCATACATGTATGTGTATACTGGTATGCGTATAAGTGTGAAATTAGATGAAAAAAGAGTCTGAGAATCCCAAGTAGACTTTGGTAAAGAATGAGTTCTCTGGGAAATTATTGTTACTTTAATTGTTATTTGGTTAATACTAACTTTGCTCAGTATGTCTGACTTCATCATTAAGCAGGAACAAAATCAGACCTAAGTATCTGATTTGATACAAATGTGTATAAAGTTCCTATATAAGCACTTGAATAAATAGCGATTGATGAGTATATTTTTTAAAAAGCCAAATGTACACAAAGTACCATACAAACCCAAGTTCTGAAGTCCAATTCAGACATAGTGATGTTCATTAGTAAGTTCTAAAATACTCTTTCTATTCCTCTCCACTAAACAATCACAGTGTGATAATCATGGAAATATCACTGGACTAAGGCCCTGTCATCCTTTTAGTTACCCGGGTTAGCAAACTTGGAGTCATTCCTGACCCTTCCTTGTTCCTCATCCTCACCACCACCAATGCAGAATCAGTTGCCACGTCTTGTTGATTTTACAACCACAACGTACATCTCATCCATTTTCTTCTCTCCAAACACATAGTCACCACCTTAGTGCAGGTCCATATCACCTCTTTCTTGCCAAAACTCAAATAGAAACCGGGGCTACTACTCTATACATGAGGATCCCTGCAGGTGGCATGTTGACTTAGTCTTAAAAGGTAGTATTATTTATGTTTTATTGTATCTTTATTTATTTTGTTAAATATTTCCCAATTACATTTTAATCTGGTTCAGCCACATCTAGGGAGTGTTGTGGGATACATGTGGCAGCATGTTTGACACCTCTGCTTTAGGCTACTGGAGCAGCTTCCTAATTGTATTTCTGGCTTTTATCATCTCCCCTTTCCAATATATCCTCCACAAAACTGAGCCTTCTCCACCTCAATTCTTTTTTTTTTTTGCTTTTTGCTAGGCAATGGGGTTAAGTGACTTGCCTAGGGTCACACAGCTAGTAAGTGCCAGGTGTCTGAGGCTGGATTTGAACTCAGGTCCTTCTAACTCCAGGGCCAGTGCTCTATCTACTGCACCACCTAGCTGCCCCTCAATTCTTCTTAAAGCCCAAAGCTGACCTTGTTACTCCTGTACTCAAGAACTTTCAGAGCTTCCTTGTCATTTATAGGTTAAAATACAAAATCCTGAGTCAGCTTGGCATTTCAAAGACCATTGCACGCTTTATGAGGTTTATGTAACATTGTGCCCCGTTAGGAAGAGGGAACCCATTACTTCCTGAGACAGCCTATTCCAGTTTGGTACAGTAATAACTGTTCCAAACTGGAGAGTTTTTCCTGATATCAAGCCTACATGTGCCTCTTGTAACTTCCAAAACATAGCTTCCGATTCTGCCCTCTAAGGCCATACAGAACAAGTACAATTCCTTACACATGAATGGCAGCCCTTCAAACACTTGAACATAACTATCACCCACTCTTGATGGTGACTTATGCCACCCCTGAGTATGCTCTTCTCCAGGATAAACATCCCCAGGCCCTTCACCTAGCCTTACATGGCAGGGAAGTAGGCCTTTGCCATTTGCCATGTCTTCCTGAGTCTGTTTTGTCTTTGCATCCCTAACACCTAGTAGGTCAACAAGCATTAAGCAACTGCTATGTGTCAAGTACTATGCTAAGTCTGAAGAATTTAAAAAA